CACAACTCCCGAAATTTGAGAAAACGGCTACTGACACGTCTCCCAAACGCGCGCCTTTTTGAAAAATCAAAACGCACGCCATCAGTTGAGTAAAATTCAAGGTACGGGCCAAAACCCTCCTGCTACCTTACGAACTCCCCACGCCAAGACAGGACCCTTAGCGCAGGGAGTGGGGGGCAATTGATGAAGGGAAATTTGGCCCGACCTCACAATCACCTGACACGTAGCAAAAGCAAGCAGCTCGGGGCAGCAGAGCGCCCAAAACACGGGCACCAAAGGTAACCAGCAGTCTAAGAACCCGAGCTCCCTACTAAGAGCCTGAGCTCCCTACTAGGAGCCCGAGCTCCCTACTAAGAACCCGAGCTCCCTACTAAGAACCCAAGCTCCCTACTAGGAGCCCGAGCTCCCCACTAAGAACCCGAGCTCCCTGTAACGAGCCCGAACTCTCTCTTAGGCCCTAAGCCTCACAAAGCCGTGACCGAGCTGGTCCACGGCAGCTTGGAACACTCCCCAAACCGAACTCAAGACCATCTCGCTCGCCACCCTAGTACTTCGCCTCCGAAACACCAGACTGACCAAACATACCTGACACCGAGGGAGTCCGTATCCAAGGGCTGCATGCCTGACTGATTTGGGATCTGACGCCTGACAGCCGCACTTCAAACGGTCTCCTGCCACCGTCGTCACCAGCCGTAGGGACGGCTCCGACAAAAGGAGCAGTGGCGGTTCTGCCCGGCCAGAGGGGCTGACATCCGAACTGGCAGGAGCTCAGAGATAATCATGCCCGATCTGACAGAAGCCTGGGAGTGAGTGCGCGAGGTGGTTATAAAAGGCTCCCTACCCCCAAGAACGAGGTATGCTAACTTTGCGCTATCTGGCTTATCTTGCCTTCGAAGGATTCTAACTTGAGCTTCGGAGCCTTTACACCGGGTTCTCCCCGGAGCTTCTTCATCTCCTCCGTTTCAGGTCCCCCACTACTCAATTCAGAGGCAAGATCGTTAACAGCTAAGACCGGCCGGATTGTACATCATCAGTTAAGATACGACGAGTTTGCCCATCAAACACTTGTAGGCATCAACTCTGTAAGCATCCGGTGGCTTGAGGTCAGTAATTAATCTTCTAAAATATCTAAGCAATGGCGGCGTTCACCAATTCGCCGCTGTTGGGTTTACCGCTGCTGCTAGAAGGACAGTGAAGGAACAGCCAAGTTTTCCATCACCGCCGGCGATTCCGACAAACTTTATCAGAACTCCTTGTCTCCTCCACCATTTGCAACGCCGAAGATTTAGGCCCCTTTGTGTGCAAAGCATTTACCTCCGAAAAATTTAGGTCGCTTCTTTCTCGCAAGGTTGCAGAGAAAGGGGTGCCGATTGCTAGATTTCTGGGCCTGGAGTACAAAAGAAGATTTCAAGAAGATGACCACTCTCCCGTGATCACAAAAATCAGAGGAGCTTTGAATTTGATTTAAGCGTAAAATGGACATTTCCCTTCTTTTATTAATATTTTAACGACAATGATAATTTTTTGAAACAGAGTACCGTTAGACAGTATACTTAATCAATTTTGCAAATAATGGGAATAGTTTAAGAAATCAATACTATCCTCCATCCCTTTTTTCTTCACTTTCCGTGTTACTTCTCAAACAGGAATTCAAGAATCTAAGCCTGGCGAAAGCTCTAAGTCTTGTCGTCAGAATATAATTGCTCATGGCAGACTGGCAGTAAAGATGGTGGCAGTAGTTCAGTGAAAACCATACAAGATATGATCAGAGATCTGAAAAAGCACCTCTTTTATGCTCCAAGAGTGAAAGAGCGAGAAAAAGGAAATAAAAAACTGCCCCTTGAAGTTGCAGCGGCGATAGAGAGACATGTCAATGCAGCTAAATATTTTTTATATTTTTGAGAAACCTTACACTACAAAAGTACTCCGAGTTCAAATCAGCCTCCCACAGCTTTCCATAATATATCTCCATCATGTGTTGGGAATATCTTCCAATGATAATACTCAGAATGATAATATCATCATTGGGAAACATTTCCACTACACGGCAGGAATGTGCTGTGGGACGTTGTGGGGAGCAGTTTTGTGGAGGGCTGATTTGGTCTCTACTCTATCGAAGGATTGAGATTTGATAATGCCGACTCTCTTCTCTAGCCTGAGGACAATGCATGCATGTGGGCTTTTTTGATTTGATCAGTTTTTAACCAGTGAATTATAGGTAGAAACCCTGTACTTTGGGGGTAGTAACACTAAACGATCTAAACATTCAATTGAGACATTTTAGTACCCTAAACTTTTAAAAATATACTCTTAAGTCCAATTCCGTTAAAAATAATGTTACAGAGAGGGTAAAATTATAAAAATGTCCATATTTATGTTTTCTTTATTATTATTTTTCATTGTTTTTAGTCATTCTATTGAAATGCTTGTTGAAAAGAATTACAAAATGATTTTAAATGAAAGAAAATGAGTAAATAAAAGGACGGTAAAATGAGTAACAAGATTTAAGTTTTGCTTTCAAATTCGATAATATGATTCGAATGAAGTAGATCATTTGAAGGTGAAAACTTGAAAGCAAACTTAAACATGGACATTTTTATAATTTTACCCTCATTGTAACTCTAGTTTTCACAAAGTTGTGCTTAAGTGTATATTTCTAAAAGTTCAATACTAAAATGTCCCACTTGAAAGTTCATGCCCTTTTTAAGTGTCACTACCCCCCAAAGTACAAGGCACCTATTTTTAATTTACCAAAAGGATCAATTCATTTAGAGATAATTAATTTATGTAAATTATTTTTGGTAAATTTCATATTGAACTTTGATAATTTAATTTTGTCAATTTTATTAAATTTTGGTATATTCCCAAAAAATAATTTCACTAAATTATTTTTTATTTATTTTGGTAAATTAATAATTGACCAAAAATTGTTATTTTTTTTTTATAATTTATGAATGAACAATTTTTTTTTTATTTTAGGAAATTATTGATTTATTAAATTTGGTAAATTATTAATTTTGAAAAGTGAAGTAATTTTGGTAATTTTTGTACATTAATTTTGTTAACTTTGGTGATTAATTTTGTTGTATGGGAAATTAAATTTGTGATTCATTTTATTATATAAAATTTTGGTAATTTCATATATTGATTGTCCTAAAAATTTAATTTTTGATAAATAAATTTTTGTAATGTTAGTAATTTAATTATTATAATTTTGGTAATTTAGGTAAATCAATTTTCATATTTTTGGTAATTTAGGTGAATCCAATAGTTAATGAATACAACATAATAAACTTGTTGCTCTCATTACAACTTATTTGTGATTCAATCAGCTAGATAAATTCATGGTTCTCATACTCTTGATATGCAAAATTTGCATATAAAGAATTTCATTTGATTAAAACTATTTTTTTTTAATTGGTAAGAGACCTACCACATCATCCATTTTCATCTAAAAACATTAAAATTATCAAACTATTTATATAAAGTATATTAATGAACTAAATATATGATATGATACACCCATTTGGAATGTTATATGGTTCCTTTCACTCCAATTTTTCTTCACAATGTAAGGGTGGATTCGAGCTAGAGACTTGAGCTCGAGTCAAAAGCTTGTAAGCTTGAGCTCGGCTCGGCTCAAGCTCAACTATGAGCCAAATGTTTTATACAAATAAAAAAATATACATATTTGACATTTAAAAATTAAGAATTATAAAAACTAGTTATTATTATTATATATAAAAAATAAAAATATTATATATAGAATTTTTATTTTTTACTTATGTATATATATATATATTAATTTTTATATGTATAATGTTTTTATATTATATTATATATATATATATATGTGTGTGTGTGTGTGTGTGTGTGTGTACATGTAAAAGCTTGATTAGGCTTTTATATGTATAATTTTTTTATATTTATTATACATATATACATATATGTAAAAGCTCGAATAGCTCATGAAAGGCTCAATTCGTGGCTACCCCCACATGCACGTGGCCGATTAGTACAAAATAAAGCCTGCAAATCAAACCAGAAATTGTACTTAGTTTCTGGGTCAGTTTTTACAATAATGCGTGTACAAATTACTTCTCAAAAAGAAAACTAATAACTAGGGCTATGTTTGGTTTGAAGGAAAAGGTAGGGAAAGGAAGGGAAACATATGGAACCTATACAGGGTTTGTAAAAGTTTCCCTACATTTCACTTTCTTCCCTAATTTTTCCTTCAAACAAAACGCAGCTTAAAGAAATCCAAGCTTTGAAATACTTGCTAGTTGCTACATGTAAGTAACCATAATTTGTCTCTACATCTCTAGTTCTCGGAAAAACTTTAGCTGTTGGGGGCCAACAGCCTATGCTGTTGAAAGAATTTCTGGAAATGCCATGTTATCATGAGAATGGGTAAATTAGTCATTACATCTTAATTTATTTTGACTAAAAACCAAAGCATGGGCGTGAATAGGTGAACTGCCCAGAACGTGTTGGGCCCCAACAGCCAAAGTTAACCCCTAGTTCTCTACCATAAATAGGATACCGATGAAATGGATTAGATAGATCACATCTTCACTTACAACAAGTTCATGAAATTAGTTAATTAAAAATATGAAATAAAAAAAATTAGTTCCCTAAACCTAAAGAATCAATGTCATAGTTGAAAATTTGATCCTGAATTGGACCTAAGTGACTTTACTTGGAATTTCAAGATGTAAATTAATCAAATTACAATCTGCCAAAATGACTGTAAATCTGATTGTACAATTAGCTCATCTACTGTACTCCAGTCCCCAACCCCTCCCTAAAAAAGTCTATTTCAGACATTCAAATTAAGAAACTGTTTCTCATGGCTCAGAAGGTTTTTGAGAATGAGGTAGCCTTCAATTCAGTTTCAGTAAAAATCTCTAATTAGTTTCACTGAATCTCAAACTTCTTGTCAACCATTCTTCCGTTCCTTCCAAGGCTTTGTGACATGTTAAAAAGTATCCTTCTGTTTCATGCCAAATTAATGTAAGGAGTCTACCATGTTGGGGGGTTTCGGTGCCAAGCTCCAAGAGGTTTCAACCCTTCAAAGGAATTTCTGTTGCTTCAAAAGCAAATTTGATGCTTCTTTTTCACCAGATGACCAAGTTATTGGTGAATACCACACCACATATGATCAAGAAAAGGTACCATCAATCACAGCACATTAACAAAAGTGATAGCCCAAGTTGTGTTCTGAACCTGCCAATTAAAGAGGTATGTATATGTCTTCAGTTTCAAGCTCGATAGATTCTTGAGGGTTGTTGATTGCCTGTTACCTCTATCCAACTACATCCAGGTACTTTCTTTACTTCTCTAGTCTCCATTAATTCCCTCAACTTGCCCACATTATCCCAATTGCCAAAGTCAGCAAACATGTTAGACAATAAAAGGTAAGTTGAAGGATCCTCCTTTTCCAGAGCAAGTGCCTGTGCTGCTGCTCGCTTTCCTGTATCCAGGTCCCCATGAGCCCTACATGCGCCAAGCAAGGTCTGCCATACCAGAACCCCTGGTTGAAAGGGCATATTTAGTATTAGGGCCTCAGCCTCCCTGATCTGTCCTGCTCGACCAAGAATATCTACCATACATGCATAATGATCTTCCCCAGGAGCAATGCCATGGTCGTGGGTCATGGAAGAGAAATACTTCCACCCTTCATCAAGGAATCCCCCTTGACTACATGCATACAGTACGCAAATGAAAGTAATATAGTTTGGCTCTACACCTGCAAACCTCATTCTTTCGAAAATGTCCAGCGCTTCCCTGGCATAGCCATTTTGAGCAAACCCCATGATCATCGTAGTCCATGAAACAACTGACCTAGTGTCCATCGATTGGAACACGCCCCATGCTCCATCCATGCATCCACATTTTGCATACATATCGAGTAGGGCGTTGTCTACGCAGATATCAATTTCAGTCCCTAGCTTAATTCTCAGACCATGAACCTTCTTTCCTTCTTCCAAGGAAGCCAAACTGGCACAAGAGTTAAACGCAGTTGCCAATGTGAACTTGTTGGGTTTAACACCCACCTTCTTCATCTCATCTATCACCGTAAGTGCTTTCCTTGGTTGCCCACATTGTAAACACCCAGAAGCCATTTGGGTCCAGGAGATCACATCTTTCTGAGGCATTTCACCAAATGCTTTTGAACCTTCAATTAAATTTCGATTCTTCAGATACATATCAACCAAAGAATTCCCAACACAAATCTCATCTCCATGACCTGACTTAATGAGCTGTGCATGAACTTGCAAACCCATTTTAAGATCACAAATGGTTGCCAAACCTGTTAGAACAGTTGCAAATGTGAAGTTATCAGGCTTTACACCCTCCTGATTCATCCTATACCAGAAGCCCGGGACATCTATGTAGGAGAACTGCAAGTACCCAGCGATCATCGCATTCCAAGAGACAATATCTCTACATGGACACTTGTCAAAAAATTCTTCTGCTTCCACCAGTTTACCATGCCTGATCAGTGCAGTGAGGAAAGCATTAATCAAGAACACATTTGATTCAAATCCGAACTTAACAATCCAAGCATAAATTTGGTAGGCATGAGAAGGATTCTCAGACAGGGAGCAAGCATTTAGAGTACTAACAAGGGTGAATTCATTGGGACTCACCCCAGTTTGTTGCATGCGAGAGAACAGAGAAAGAGCTTCATGGACACACCCATGTTGGACTAGGCCTGCAATGATGGCGGACCATGAAACAACATTCCTCTCAGGCATTTCTTCAAACAGATTGACAGCTCCAGCAAGGTCATCACATCTCACATACATGTTCAGCAGATTGTTGTGAAGGAAAAGGGATGAAATGAGGGATTCCTTAATAAATTTAGCATGAATTGCTTTACCATGACCCAAAGTAGAGATTTCACCACACCTCTGCAACAAATTAAAGTATTTCTCTTCCTTCATGCAGTCTTCCGAGGTTCTCCATGTTGCACAAAACGTATAAGTCCTTCGAATTGATGGGCACTCCAACTGGCGGACAGAAATTGAACGGAGCATTTGCTTGCAGAGTTCAAACTTCTTACTCGTCTTGGAATGACCGTTAAAAAGCTAGTAGTTACCACACCTCGTGGGAGGGGAGGACCGATGTTTTTGCTGGGACCCACTGAGGAGTAGTGAGTCTGGATCTGCTCCTGACACAGCGCGCCTCACATCGACTTTACATTATGTTCTGGCCGCAAATCAGGAACATCTCATATTTACGAGATATGTTCCCAATACAAGATGGAAGGTGGCTGTGAAGTCGGTGAAGGCGCGCCCGGTCAGGAGCAGATCCCAATTCGTAGTGAAGATATCTGCGTGGGTCTACTACTGAATTACTTATTTTGCTACTCAGGGGGCGCGTCTCACACAAACCTCACAGCGCATCGAAGCCGTGCATCGGGAACATTTCCCATCAATGACAACGTCAAGTATCGTCCCCTTGACACTCGAGTCCGGATCTGCTGGAGCTCTCTCTCTCTCTCTCTCTCTCTCTCATACTGGTGGATTGGCGTGATTTTGAATGGTGAGTTGGTGATGAATCTACTGGAGTGAGCACCCACTCTTTTCATCGTCGAGAGCTTCTGGCTTCTCTGCGTCGTCAATGGCGATTCACAGAATCCCAAAGAGTAAACAGAAACCCAGATCTCCAGTTCTCTTGCTGGTGATCTCCATTGCCGTAATTGCCTTTCTCTGGCTATTTTGCTCTTCCAGTTCTATGGCAGGGTTCTCTTTTTCCTCTGCAAGAACCCTGGTTAATGTGAGGGGACTGAAGAAAGACAGGAATTATGGGTTGGAGAAGTATTTGTATTGGGGGAATAGAATTGATTGCCCCGGGAAACATTGCGATTCCTGCGAGGGTTTGGGTCATCAAGAGTCGAGCCTGAGATGTGCTCTTGAAGAAGCCTTGTTCCTTCAGAGGTATTTTCTTTTTGGCATCTAAGGTTTTGTTTATCTTCTGCTCCTACTTTAAAAGTTCGACTTTTAGCGTCTTATTTAGGCTAGACTTGAGCCACTGAATTGAAGTTTTTTCGACTTCCATTTTTGATGGGTTCTCCTTATTTTGATATCTCTAACGTATTTAATACGCTTATGAAGAGATCTATGTTAGGGAGATTGACAATTAGGGGGGGGGGGGGGGTATTGCGAAGCTTATATTGTAAGGATCTTGCAGTCTGGGAACAGTGGGCATAATTTAAGAGAGCTCACGATCTACAATTCTACATTATGTGTTTGAACTTTGGAGGTTCCCATTTTCTTTTCATTGCTTTCCCATTTTGTGGTATTTGTTGATTTCTCTTTCAGTTTGATCTGAAAGAGACTTGTTCCCTTGGCCTTAGTTAACAATTCTGGCCTATTTGCTTATTTCAGGGAGAACTTATATTTCAGCTGTTTAAGTTGGAGAAATTTCATTCCCCGACCCCAATTAAAAGTCTTGAATCACTTCAAAATTATTATACAGTTAACAATGTTCTAATTTCCTTCAACTTTTTCTTTACAGGACTTTTGTAATGCCTTCAAGAATGTGCATTAATCCAATACACAATAAGAAAGGGATCCTCCATCAGTCCAAAAATGCAAATTCGGAGGAAGAGTGAGTTTTCCTCATACCTTACCTCCTTGTTGTCCTTTGACAATAATTGCCATAAGATATTCTGTTTTCTCCATTTCCAGGCTTTAATTCAAATTTAGGAGGGCTCCTTCTTTCCTTTTTTTTCCTTTATTTTTTTTTACAGTAAACAAGTTCTTCCTTCATCTCCCCCCCTGCAACTGTAGCTTTTTATAGCTGTATATTTCCCCTAATTTTGCAAACAAAGATGTAGGAACTGATTTTTGTCCACAATCTGAAGATGTCTGATCTTACTTCGTAGGTGGGCAGCAAGCTCTTGTTCCATGGACTCTTTGTATGATTTGGACCTCATCTCTGATACCGTGCCTGTAATCCTTGACAATTCCAAAATATGGCATCAAGTGCTATCAACAAGTATGAAGTTGGGAGCCAGGGGAGTGGCACATGTGGAGGGAATTAATCGGATTGATCTCAAAGAAAATAATGCTTACTCTAATCTCTTGCTGATAAACCGTACTGCAAGCCCTCTCTCATGGTATAACTTAATGTTCATAACTTCATATTTCCATGAACTACCTTGCCTTTTTTATGTGCAGGATAGTGTTCCTCTGATTCCCAAAATCTGAATCTTCATAATTAAAGTTCTAAATATCTAAACCATTGAAACATGAAGCCAACTTGGTACCTTAGCAGCCAGAGGTTCAATCTTTGTTTGTTGTGTGACAAAACTATTTGACTTGAGTTAGATGACTGATGTGGGGGTGTATGTCTGTGGAACATTGCAGTATTGCACAATGAGAAAACCATCTAAGCTAGACCATCAATTGGCAACAAATATGACATGATTACGAAAACCCATGTTTTCAAGTGATCCTTTTAGCAACACTACGGAGATGGTGGTGCAGTTGATTGATCAAGTCATGAAATTGTTTGTTACCATCAAATCAGTTCTACATGTATAGATGGCTAATTTTGTGTCTTAAAAGCAAGAAGTACCAGTAAAGAGCGAAGTGTTTTGAACTTGAGGCACAAGGCATAAGGCAAATCAAAATTCTAAAAGAAAAAAAAATTGTTAGTTTAGTTGGTTTGACTATCTTGTAGTCTGTAGGTTCAAGTCATACATAGATTAAGCTATTTAAATTTTGATAATCTTAGTTACAACTTATATGGTAACACTTGCTTATTCAAAATTCAAATTCAATGTTAATTCAACAAAATGTAGCAACAATTCATGATGCACACCTAGGTTCAGTAAGTAAAGCACATAGCACAAAATGAGCCTTGCCTGTATTAAAGCACTGAGCCAGTTATTTGGAGGTTCTTAGGATCTATGACGAATTTGTTTCATCCTTAGTAAGGACTTGGGGAACATCAAGAATGAAGGCTGTTAGAATCTAGTAGAATTAGCTTCATATTTAATATAGATTTAAGAGGTATCAAGAATAATTCCTTTCCTTGTGGGAATGGGTAGTAATTGGGGCAGAAATATGTCTTTCCTTGTGTTTTTTGTGTCATTTTGTTTTTTATTTTTACTTTGGAAGGTGTTGGTTTAGGAAAAATGGTTGATTATCTATATAAAGGAGAGTCTTATGTAGAGGAAGGTGGTATTTTTTTGATTGAATTTTAGAGTTATTTGATAATTAATAAAGTTTCTATTTTCTTGCAAAATTGCAACTATAGATCAATCTTTCTTTGGGACCATTAGTTCTTCCCATCAATTTGCTGTTTTCACATAGTCACATCAATGTGAAGATTAACCGTGAACATATTGTTCTTTTTAGAATCTATTCCTTGATTTCCATTTAGTTTCATCATTAGCAGTAGGATTGCAACTTGGTCTGGGTTAACCTGAACCCAGTCTGAAAAAAGTAGGGTTGGGTTGAAGTTCGGGTTAGGGTTAAAAGTATGAACTTGACATAACTTTGGGTTGGGTTTGGGTTGAGGCTTGACCAACCCTACTTAACTTCATATTTTCATGTATAATGTTATATAAATATGTATTTATTTATGTAAGTACTTGTGTATGTGTGTATTTTTTTTTTTTTTGATAAATACTTGTGTATATGTGTATTCATGCATGTTCGTATAACTATGCACCCATAAATGTATATATCTATATATTTATGTATTTTTTTGCTGCAAGTATTTATGTATGTATGTACGCTCTTTAAGAAGGTAAAGTGCAAAGTTTTCAAGGCGCCAAGGCGAGGCTAGGCGACAGGGGGGCGCCTTGTCGCCTAGTCGCCTAGGTGATGGATTTTTTTAAGTAAAAACTTGTATCCTAGGGTAGTTTCCTAGGTTCCATAATCATATTTCCTTCATAAATATCCATAATTTTCATAAGAAAAGTATAAACTTCATGTTAAAGTATAGAAAATCAACATATTCCAACATATTCATGAGAAGAAAAAGAAGAAAGCAAAGAAAATTAAAAAAATATAGGGGCTGAACCCCTATTTCTGTTATAGGAAAAGAAGAAGAAATTAGTATATAAACAAACAAAATTAGTAAAGAAAAAGAAGAAAATATGTTGATTGGACAACATTTTATGTTCTTCCTTACTTATTGGTTCAGGTTTTGGAGTCTTTGAGGGTTCAATTTAAAAATGTCTATTTTATAATTATAACCTCGAAAAATGAAGAATATAAAAGTTTTTTATAACACACTATAGAAAACTACTTGGCGATACAATACGCATGATACGGGGCGTATCGTATTGTGTCTTTGAAAAACAGATACAGGATACGCATAGAAATAGAGCGTCTCGTCTTTTTTCATGTGTATCGGGGCATATCGGTAGCGTATCGACGAAAAAGATACGGCCAAAAATTGAAAAAAAAGGGGGAAAGCAAGCTTCTTTTCCCTGAAATAAGCCTTCTTTCACCCCCAATTGACTCTAAAACTCCAAACTTCATTCCTAGAGTGTTAGATTTGCAAAATTTTGCAAGAAACAAGTGTGAATCGTTAATTTTTTTGAAGATTTTTCAAATTTTGAAAAAATATGGCAAAAATAGGTAATTTTTTTTTTCAATTTTCTATAATATCTTGTGATTTCTTTTTTTTTTCTTGAATGTTTAAATTTATGTTGATCTACATTTCTTACATTCAAAATCACAACTTTTTTTTTGTGTTATCAATAGATTTATGGAAATTTCATGAAGATATTTAGGGAAAATATAAATTAACAAAAAATTTGAAAATGTAATTTTTTCTCTGCCTATAAAGACTAAATATGTTTTAGATCTATGGATTTATCTATCATATCCATAGAGAAATTGAAATTTCTTCTTTAATAGTTTTTTTAATATTTTTAGAATTAAAATTAAATAATAATTAATTATATTTTATCATTTGATTACAACAATTGAATATATTATAATTCTATGGATGATCTATCATATCCATAGACGAATTGAAATTTCTTCTTTAATAATTTTTTAATTTTTATATTTTTAGAAATAAATAAATAAATAATTAATTAATTATATTTTATCATTTGATCACAATGACTGAATATATTATAATTCTATGGATGATCTATCATATCCAAAAATAAATTGAAATTTGTTCTTTAATAACTATTTTTTGAATATATTATATAATGTTTATTTATTTTGTATAATTTTTGGAAATAAATAATAAATATTTAAATAATTATTAATTATATTTTCACTTAGAAGTTGTGCCAATGCATGTTTTATGGTTGGATAGGAGAGTTGGGTTTTTCCCATCCCATATATTAATTTAATGTATATATACCTCATTTAGGTCTTATATTTAGTGTTGTTGATGTATTTTTATGATTTAATAAAGTATTTATAGTGTTTCCAAGCGTATCTTAGTTTTTCTCCGATACACATGCTTAAAATTGTCTTTTTGATACACTTGGCATTTCCGATATTTGAACCTCCCCTCCCCCCCCCCCCCCAAAAGAAAAAAAAAGACCCTCAAAACAGAAGAAGAGAGTATCATTTTTAAACATATTATGTATGGACAACCAACTTCTAATAGGGGTGGCAATTTTCCCCATCCCCGATGAGTACTCGGGTTCCCCGACCCAACGGGGTTGGGGATGAGGGTAAAGCTGTTCATGGGTCGGGCTTTTACTCTTTATTAACAGAAAAATGTTAGGCCCAAGCCCGAGCCCAGCTCGACCAACGGGCCTACAACTTGGGCCTGAGCCCGACCCTGATAAAAAGCCCGAGCCCAAAGCCCGACCTAATAAAAGAAATTTGAATTTTTCCCTATTCAAATGGACATTATCTATTTTAATTCAGATGTTTTTTTTCCCTATTTAAATGAACAATGGGCCTACAAGTGAATCAACAACCTTAAATCAAAAAATTTATTCAAATGGACATCACATAGGGTTTTTACTTAGGTTTAACTATAGGTCGGGCTCGGGCCGGGCTATTTTGGCAAAGCCTGAGCCCAGCTCGAATTTTATGCGGGCCGGGCTTTTTGGCCCGAGGTTAAGCCTGCAGGCCAAAAAGCTTGTTCAAGCCTGTCCGGGGGCCGGGCCGGCCCGTCAGGCCACCCGACCCATGAATAGGTCTAGATGAGGGGTACCTTGTCGAGGTCGGGGATGGGGCTACCCCTAAATCCCCGATTGGGTTCGGGGATAGGGAATGCAATCCCCGCCCCAACCCATCCCCGATTAATATATATATATATATTATATATACCATAATATATATAATAATAATATTATATAATTATAATAATTATTATTCATTTTTTTAAAAGATTAATACTTTAAAAATAGTAAAATACTAAAACCCTCGATAGTAAAACACAAAACACTTTGACTGAGAGAAGAGAGAACTCTGTCTCTGAACCCTAGGTCCCTAGCTTCATGCCTTTGTCAGTTCGTCTTCCACTCTTCCTTCGTCTTCGTCACCGGTTGCCGATTCGCCGACCATCATCGTTGTCGCCACTCGCCCGTCGGACATCGGACAGAGGACAGCTGTCGCCACTTACTGAGCGTCGTCACTTCAACCTTCGCCTATCGTCGCCATCGCCCGTCAGACTCTCTCTCGTTGCCAACCTCAACTCCCGCAACGGTCCTCTCTCTCTCTCTCTCTTTCTCTCTCTCTTTCTCTCTCTCAATCTCAATCTCTCTGTCTCATACTCTTAGTCTTTCACATATGATCCAGGATGTGTGCATACATATCTTATCGGGGATTCGGGTCTCCGACGGGGAATTCATCCCCGTTGGGGTCGGGGATGGAGGGGGGACTCCTTTCCCCACCGGGGATCGGGGATGGGGATGGGAAATGTAATCCCCACCCCGAACCCGCCCCGTTGCCATTACTAACTTATAAGATCCTCTACTACCCTATTACCCTATTTATCACCCCTATTTCTGGTGATGCTTTCTGTTAAAAGATTCTCAAATTTCTTTCAGACCAAATGGCCCACAAAACTGCCATAGGAATTGCTGACCAGCAAACTTTCTCTTTTCTGGACAAACCCAAGATGCCCCATTCTTACAAAAGACCTTTAACTGAGAAGGGGAAGCACCAATGCAGATTGAGTGCCTTTGTGAAGTGACACCACACAGCTGAACTGAAACTGCAGTGCAAAAACAAAAACCAACTGTCTCTTCCTCTCTATTGCAAATGACACAGTCTTTCTAGGACAGTGAACTCCTATTTATCACCCTTTTCTTAATATGTATGTACATATTTATCTATCTATATATGTATGCATGTTTGTTTTACATAAAAGAATTGAAGTTTAAAGGCATTTTTTTTTCTAAAACATGATAAGTATGTTATTTTAAACATAATAATGCTAATATTGAATTAACATAAACCCTTAGGGTCTAGAAAATAAGTACATTTAGCAAAAGGAAGTAAAAACCGAGCCAACTTTAGACCAACACAAACTCAACCCAAAGTCTTTGGGTTGGGTTAAGGTTAGGGTTGGGGGGTTGAACAACTTGGGTTCGGGTTGACCTCAACCCAACTTAACCCAGCCTAACTTGCACCCCTACTCAGCAGGACTTGGCCTTAAATTGCATTATAGTTTTTATTCCCTTGGTGGTAAAAAGTTTGATTTCAAATGTTTGAATGTCCAAACATGCGGGATCTCCATGGCAGAATGTTCCTTCCAAGTTCTTTACATTTTGAAGATGGCAACAAACTGAAATGTGGGTGAATCATACAAATTCTTGATCATCTTGGTGGGTCTTGAAACTGAAATAGTATGATGGTAGGGAACAGCTTGAATGATGGGTTCAATGTCCACAATGTGTAATCATATCATTTTTGTTGCCAACCTGATGGTCTAAATCTGTTCACTCATTATTTGTTGTTCTTGTTGCATATGCGTTCCTACATCAGTGACAAAATGTTCAACTCAACCAATGCAACAGTAACTTACTATGACTTGATCAACACATTTTAACTATGGCTGTCATGTTTGATGTTGCATTTTTTTTTTTATCAATAACCACAGATTTCATTAATAATGGAATAAAGTTACAAAGAAAGGGAGCTAAAAATTCTTAGCTCCCCAAGGTATGGGAATACATCTGACTTAAAAACACAAAAAACTTACAATTGAGCCCAAAACCCAGAAGCCCTATTAACCCCTTGTCTAGCTAATCCATCAGCAAAGGAATTAGCATTTCTTTTTACCCAAGTACATTGGACTTCCATTATCCTTGATCAGCCATTTAAACTTTCTCTTCTTATTGTTGTATCTCCACATCTTAGAAGTGTCTTCTTTCAACCAGTCCACTACAACCGTAGAATCTTCCTCTATAATCAGTTTCTTAGCATTAATTTGTTTGGCCCTTTGAACCCCTTACAAGGCTGCTAACACCTCAGCCCTCAAGGAGTCTCCCACATGACCTCTCTCATCTCTTAGTACCCCCCCCCTCCCCCAATACCCGAAGGCCCTGGATTCCCCATGCTACTGCCATCAAAATTTAGTTTGATAAAACCAGGAGGTGGAGGGTTCCAATTGAGATTTGAAGTCTTCTTTCTTGAAATTGAGCTAGCAACTTCTTTCCAATTTCTTAACATATCATTTGTTGAAAAATCTGTGAACTCATTCATTGTCTTCAGCCAATGTATTACCCTTATATGAATCAGTTCTACCATTGTTTCCAAGCCTCTCTCCTGTTCCAAAAAGATCCTTGCATTTCTTTCTTCTCATAATGTCCAACAAATAGCAGCTCTCACACATCTCCACATAATTCTTGATCTTTTTGTTGGGCATTCAATAGAGGAAGAGGAAAACAAGCTTTGCACACTAGTTGGGGATATCCACCTGCACCCAAACAAAGAAGCAAACCAGTCCCAAATATTTTTTGCCAAAACACAAGATATTAGTATGTGGTAACCGGACTAACCAGCGGCTTTACATAAAACACACCAATGTGGAGATAAACAGCTATTGGGTCTTTTTCTTTGAAGTAAATCACCTGTGTTGATTCTTTCTAGGAAAGCTTCCCAACAAAAACTCCCAACCCTCGGAGGTATAGGTTTACACCACACTTCCTCATGTTTGATGTTGCATTACAAATTGATTTGGATTGATAAATTCATTTATTGCCTTTGATGCCATTTATATGCTCTATTTTACATGGATGCACTAAAGATGCAACTTGGTTGTGGCATTTTGTGCTTAAAATTGAACTACTGGACAGAGGTGTGGCTTTTCTTTTGAAGTGTAAAGAGTTATATACAGGATTCGCTACTTCCTCTAGAAACTACTTTGATGGTGGTTGTGAATTTGGCTGATTCACAAATCCATATAGCTCTTCACCCCTTTCTTTCCAAAAGTGTAGATGTCTTGGCTTAAATTTTGAACCTTGCTAGTTCTTGAATAGGTCTTGATCACGGTAACCATCCAGGTTTATGGAGTGCAAGGATCGAAACAACCGTAGTTCTATAATGTTGCCACACTCATTTCTCCCTTCAATGGCGACCAAGAAGTTATGGGATGTAGCAGAGAAGGTGTGCTTCTTTAATCTGACTTGTAGTAGTGTTTCCTAGATTTTAGTTGTTTGTCATGCAAGGTAAAAATTTGATTTTCTATGAATCTTCTATTTGCATTCTTGATGTTGATGAATGATATTTGAAGAATTTGTTGGTCCTAATTCATTTTTTCATATATATTAAGATTGTAACATGTTGGAGGTGTTAGCTCGAATATCATTAGCCTTATTGGTGATAAACCAATGGAATTTCTTCTTATCTTTCATTTAAATTGTTTTGGACTTCTGCTCGCTCTTACCCTTGCATTTTTTTGTTTAAAGTGGTGTTTCTTGTTGGGAGATAAACCTGATACAACATATGATAATCGTTGTGGATTATAAGTAATACTGCTTAGAGATACATTCAATAGCTTGTAAGGTATCAAGGGTGTTTGAGCTGCGATCATGAAAGAAATAAGAGTTTGTTTTGCTCTAGTTTAAGCTCTAAACTTTATTATTTATTCGATCTCTATGGATGTACATTTGTCTTAAATTTATGTTTTGTCTCATGACTCATGAAAATTTGAATACTAGTTGGGGGAATTTGTAGATGTGAGAGGGGTGAGATCTTTGTATATTCTAGCATCATTAGCTCTAGCAATTTGAACAATGTAGAGGGGGTCTTGTATTAGGAATATTTTAGCCCCTCTTGAGTGGAGAAGCATTTTTAGGTGGTTGTTGACTGATTTGGGGAGGGGAATGAAGGTCCTTGGCACCTACAGGCAACATCAATACATCATTATATTAGAGAGGCTAGATCCTTGGCTTCTAGAGTGGGCACTGGAAAAACTTTGGCTGTTGGGAATGTTCTCGGGCATGACATGCTACCATGGGTATAGGGTGAGAGAGTTACTGCCCTCAATATTTTTGACCAACAAGAGAAGCAGGGACCGAATGAGTTACAGTGATTTTACACTATTTTTAATCCATATCTACATATATGTATATAAAACAATAGAATTTACAACTTATACAATAGAAGCCTAGGGTAATATAATCAAGCTTGACTTGAAAGTCAAATAAATTCACATGCAATGGTTATTTAAGTTACATATGATGCAAAATAAACTCAATGTCTAATCTTGAATAATGTAAATAAACCATTTTCTAGTAGGGGTCTCCCTTGACAAAACTAAAATAAACAAACAAATGCCAAAGTAGAAAACTAATTAATTCTTAACTAAGTTTATTTGAATAGCAGTAAATTGTAGGAATCATATTAATTGTAAGGTTTATGAATTAAATCATAGGATTCAAACAAAAATTGTAAGATTTTTGCAGAAAAGGATTTAGACAGAAGTTCAAATCGAAACCCTTGGGATTTATGATTCAAATCATGAATTGTAAGATTTTAACAACATTCATGCGGAAGAATCTCCCAAACAGCCCAGGCTGTTGGCCTCCAATAGCCAAAGTTTTCTTGTGGGAAGCTTCCAAGGAAAAGACCAGGTTGGTGCTTGTCTCCACATGTTTGTAGCCTTTGCTTAAGGAATGGCGAGACGGTAAATCATCTATTAATTTCTTGTTCCTTTGTCACTTTTTTATGGGATTGGTTCTCCTCTCTCTTTGGTTGCAGGTGGAACTCTCCCTCAAGTGTAGAGGATCTTTTTGACCCTAGTTTCTTCAGACAACCAAAGAAGAAGAGAAGGATGATGTGGAGAACAACAAGGGCAGCTATCCTGTGGGCAGTTTGGGAGGAGAGAAACAATAGGATCTTCCAAGGACAAGAAAAATCATCTCCTGAACTTATTGAAGGGATCACCATTAAGGCTATACATTGGCTGAAAACTCTAGATCTGTTCAAGGACTACTCTACAGATGACTTGACTAGAGGATGGAGTATAATAGCAGGGCCTTCAGTATCTTGTTCTACCCTACGAGTAGCTTGGTCCCCTCCTTTACAGCGGACTGTGAAATTAAACTTTGATGGCAGCTCTGTGGGGAACCCTGGACCTTTTGGAATTGGGGGTGTTTTTAGAGATGAGGGAGGAAGAATATTAGCTATGTACTCCGGTCCAATAGGTGTGGGGGATCACTTGGAGCAGAAGTGCTGGCCCTCCTTCAAGGGCTCAAATTGGCAAAGCGTTTGGGTATGCAACAGCTAGAAGTGGAGGGAGACTCAAAGTTAGTAGTAGGGTGGGTGCAAACAAGTAGTCTGGGAATTTGGTCACTGAGACAAGTTGTAAGAGAATTATTGAGCCTCACAAGGGAGCTGGGTGTAGTTGTTAGTTGGACTAGAAGGTCAGCAAATGCTTTAGCCGACTTACTAGCAAAGCAAGGGGTGAATAGAGAGACTTTGTTTTGGGATTTGTTGTAACTTGCTCTTTGTTTCAGGGGTCACCTTGTTCTTCTGTAGGTGACAGTTTGTAAACTCTGGTGTTTTTATTTAATGAAGGTTACCGTTTCCTATCAAAAAAAGTTTTCTCGTAGGCACCTCATACAGATGATCCCAAGATTAGCTGGCTCTTTGAAAATTTGGCTGATTAGTTAGGCTTGGGGATGAGCTGTGAGGAGTGAGATGTATTGGGGCCCTCCATTTCAGGATATTTTTTGTACTCGTTGTAAGATGTCCTTGTTTTATATCACATCAGCAGGTTTGCCTTATCATAAATTTATGTTGGCGTCTTGTTCCCCATGTGTTATGGGACTTGATGGTTGGTACTAGAGTGTGGTTATTGATATGAAGGGTTAGGGAAAAGTGGTAAGGTTCATATCATTGAATTTTTCCGTGCACTTAATTAGATGGTCATTTGGTAATGCCTATATTTTAGAAGAAATTAGGGGCCTTAAGGTAATTCTCCCCATTATCTCTAGTTCAATATGGTTTTTAATTACTTCTTTTCATTGTACTCAAATTTTGTAGAAAAGAAAATTCACATGTTTGCATTCATTGTGTATGTTTATACATCTTTATCCTTCTTTCTTTTCTCTTTTCCTTGTAATCTTCTTTCTATTAAAATTTCTTTTCCCCTATCTGATCAGGAAGGGGAGAAAAGTACTGATCCTTAATTTGGAGTTCTGGATGATTTAATTTCAACAGATATGTGTACTATATTACCACTGTATATTGTATTACATAGTTCAATTTCATGAAGGACAAAAATATCTTGAACAAATTAATTAGATGGTAAATTGCCCCCCCCCCCCCCCCAAAAAAAAAAAAAAAAAAAAAAACTAATTGGATGGTGAGTTTTTATTTGGGTTATTGCCTTAGTATAAAAAAGGAAGACTGTTTGAGATTATATAATAATGCAATTTAACCATGTTGCTTATCAGAAAAATAAAAAAGAATGTGTTGTTGTCTCCCTCATCTGAGTCATTTTGGATTTAGAAGGCTTTTCTGTTTTTTTTTTTTTTTGTCTTATATCATCAACAGAACTTGATTTGTGTTACTGGTTAATGTGTATTTGTTCAATAATTCTTGTTGAGCACATTGCATAATCATATGGGAGAGCCTGATTTGAATTTGTACCATGCAGTTTCCCTATTGGTCATGTTGTTTCTCCCCACTTGTTCCTCTGATCCTGTATGGTGATTTAATAATAGAATGGCTTAATACTCTTTGAAAAACTATTTCATATTTACTATTGTCAACCATGTTGCCAACCCCATTTAGTTGGGACAAGGCTTAGATGATGATGATGATATCTACTGTTGTCAACCATGTGATCTATTGAGCAATTTTATCTTGACAGGTTAAGAGGCTCCTTGGTGATTATGATGCCATCCATGTGCGTCGAGGTGACAAGATTAAGACAAGAAAAGACAGGTTTGGTGTTGAGAGGAGTCTTCATCCTCATCTAGACAGGGATACCCGTCCAGAATTTATTCTCCGTAGAATTGCAAAATGGGTCCCACCAGGAAGAACCCTTTTCATTGCTTCAAATGAGAGGAAACCAGGATTCTTTTCACCTCTCTCTACCAGGTACTTCTATTTTATTTTGTTTTATTTTTGGTTGGTTTCTGGTGAGACTGCAAGTACCAAAATTCCAATGACTTTGGAGCTGTTTACCATAGAAAAGGCATAAGCTTGTTTTTCTTCCGGAAGTACTGTGCATGTTGGTTCCCAATGCATGGGATCAAAACCCCTTTCTTTTGCAACCCACTTAGGCATTAAATACATTGCTTGATGTTCCTTCTAGGAGAAGGCACCCTCAAGAAGCATAAAACTTGTCTACCTTGCTTTGTGACTACCTAACCACACATACACAAACTGGGGTGGGGGGTTCTGGTTTCTTTTTTGCTTATGTTGAGATAAGATGAGATGCTAATGGACTGAGAAATACAATGGCTTTCAATCTTCTCATTTATAATTCATAAATATGCATTCTGAACCAAATCTTAGATAGATATTTAAATGTTTGCAAGTCATGCTTTTACATTTAAGTGTGGCATGTGCAGATAGCATGTGATTTAAAAAGGTTTTGATGTTTCAGTTTTGAATATATCACCCAAAAAAAACATGATTTTTTGGTAAAATTATGTGTTTATTTTCTTCTGGAAAAAATCTAGTATTTTGGACCTATTACCATGAAATTCCATTTTTTTTCCTTTTTATTTGAAAAAAATGGAGTCAATATTCACAGGTTTTCTTTTACAAAGAATTGCTGATTTTATCGAGTGAAAAGTAAATAACAAAAATAAAAGTCTGGAAACATACTGTGGAGAAAATAGCCCTTAGTTCCTTTTTTGATCAGCAAATAGCCTTTTTATTTTCTTTTTTCAATGTTCTTATCTCCACATCTATGGTGGCATTCTTTTTTTATTTCTTTTTTTTTTCCCATTTAGATACTTGGCTTGGGCTGCAAAGTTTATTATGACTAACAGAAGTTTGGAATAAGGTTCCACAAAGAATGATAGTCCTTTTTAAGAATAGCTAATCATAGATTAGAAACTTGACACAGACATGTGTAGGGTTATTTCTGTTGCTTATAAACCCCTATCTGTATCCAACCTGTGGCATGGATTTCTCAATCAATGAACATTGCCTGAACAGTAATCCCAGGTGTAGGAGGTTCATAAACTGAGCCTTAGCAAATGCTTTATGCCATTGCTGTGCCTTTTGGATTCTGCAATATCTCCTGATTGATTTTGATGGTTAACGATTTGGTGTGTAAGGTGCTGGGATTTGGCACAAAAAGTGAACCTCTTCTTCCCTTTGCTTGGTGCTTCCTTTTCTTCCATGCTCACCTAACCTACATACAGTATGTGTTAATCATTTGTAAATGGACTTGATGTTTTCTAAGTACTGGTTTTTTCTCTCTCCATGTGTTTGATGGTTAAACTCTTTGACCTGAGCCATCAATTTTATATCTTGGTTATCATGGTTTAGGCAGAACATTGATCTTTAAGGTCACATGATTTTCTCTGCAGGTACAAATTGGCATATTCATCAAATTACAGCCTTATCTTGGATCCAGTAATTGAGAATAATTATCAATTGTTCATGATAGAGAGGTTAATCTTGATGGGGGCAAAAACATTTATTAGAACATTCAAGGAAGATGATACTGATCTCAGCTTAACAGATGATCCAAAAAAGAACACCAAGGATTGGCAAATACCTGTTTATACCATGGATGAATAGGAGAGCTAAATTTGTAATGCTCTTATTTTTTTTTGCATTTGTTGCCTTTTCCTCTTGAGATACAACATAACTAGATGCAAGGAACTGGGGGATTTCATATTCTACCTCTGGGCAGAGAAGGGGCATGGGGAGAATGGAAAAGTAAAACAATTTATTGATGTTGTAAATGTTAGTTTGAAGTTACAAACGTCACAAGTCACTCATCTGGAACAAGGGAAAAAAAAAGTAAAAGAGGCTCTATTCTGAATCTTTTACCTCATATAAAAGTGAGTGTTCAATTGAGTTTTAGTTTACTTTGTTCTTTCCTCCATTGGACACATAAAGTTACCAACGTTCTTGATCTGTTAAACGTAAAACATCCACTGGTTTGATTTATTTACCATAGTTTGTGGTTAGAGTTTTTTTTTTTTTTTTTTTAAATCTTTCATGTTTGATTTTGTTTTGTTTTCTTTCTGTGTATCACCATCACCATCATCATCATCATTCAAGTCTTATCCTGACTATATGGGGCTGGCTACATGAATCCTGTTTCGTCATTTCATTCTTTTTTACGCGATCTCCATTGTTAAATTATTGGTGTTTAAATCAGTTTTATTATTTCAATCCATGTCTCTTTTGGTCTACCACTATCTTTTATAGCCCATCAACTTGCAACAAATCACCTCTTACAGGTGCCGTTGATGGTATTCTATGCACATGACTAAATCATCCAAGTCTACTTTTTCATTTTTATCACATATTGGAGCTACTCCTATGTTCCTTTTAATGACTTCATTTTTGTTTGACATATCCTTTCTACTTTCTCTCCTATTATTATTAAATTTACATCCACATGTTTCAAAACCTCTTGTTTGTTTCTGCATATGCATTCATGAATATATAGAAATCTGCAGAATGTTAAGCTTTAGAAATTTGAGGATAAGGGAAATACAAAGGGGAGACTGATTCTCTCTATGGCTTTTTTTATCTGTTTCTTCTTTTAATAAATTGGCCATAAGTAGAAGGATGATGTTTGTTTCTGGCTTTCTGCATATGCATTCATGAATACATAGAAATCTGCAGAAAGTTAAGCTTTAGAAATTTGATAAGGGAAATACAAAGGGGGAGACTGATTTTCTCCATGGATTTTTTTTTATCTGTTTCTTCTTTTGATAAATTGGCCATAATAAGTAGGATGATGTCTTTTATATTTGATTTCTATTAGTAGAGATGAGTAGTAGCCATATTAGTTCTCTTGTCTTATACTCACTAACGGGATGAAAATACAGGTTATGGGTTTGTTTGGCTTGGTCATTTTTTTGCTTTGTGTTATTAACAGGGCTTCCTCACTTTGCACTCCTGCGAATTGATACTCAACTCAAGTACAAAAAACAAACTAAAACGAAGAGGTAAAGAGGACTCCATACATGCATTATATTTTGTGCATGATCACATGTACTTCATGCTTGCAAAACATGAAGTGCAAGATTCAGCATTATCTACTAAAAATAATGCTGGTGATGATGTCGAGATGATACTAAAGCATGAAAGAAACTGATCCCATATAGTTGGGATAAGGCTTATATGATGATGATGTTGAATACCATGTGGCGACCCTTGCGTAATACAAATATCAATCATGTGCTAAATATGCTACTAAAAATTATATTTAGGCTCTGTTTGTCTGCAATGCAATTTCATTTGCACTAGTACAAATGCATGGTAAGGCATATCAAAAGGGTGTAAATTTTGATCATTCTTGTGGGGTTTTCTTCATTCACACTGAAAACGAACAAAGTAAAATAAAATTTAAAACAAAAATAATTTAGAATTTGCATACAACTCATTTCCACTCCCATGCTTTTGCACTAGTGCACATGAAAATGAGATTGCGTTAAGATAAATTGAAATGTGGGATGTTAGAAAATATGCTCAAGGATGCCGACACATGGGTCTGATGTTTTATACATATCCTCCAAGAATTTGCAATATCCTTGCCTGAAGCTAAAATATTTTGGAGTTGCATTCCTGTCGTGGGTGCCTGAGAGATTTGAAAAGAAAGGAAAAGAAGAATCTTTGAAGGAAAAACAAAAAACAGAGGAGCTGTGCTCAAGAATGCTTCAACTAGATGGACTGGGTTTGTTTGGGCATTGTTAGGGTTGGAAAATGTTAAGGGAAGGGGATAACTACGTATTCTGCTATGAGTTTTGTTTTTCTTTGTTTTGTTCTGGCTGATTGCTCGTCTGCAATCTGGATGTAATCTCTCTCTATTAATGAAATTTTTTTTTTTTTATTTATTACCAAAAAATGCTCCCTTCAGATGTATACACCAGAATGCCGGATGGCATTGTCAAAAGATTCAAAACCACTAAATGTGTTTCTTTGAATCTGAAAGGAGTGATTCAGAGAAGGACCAGCTCAGAGTCACATTCTTGATTCTTACACATCCACTGTGTATGATTTGTTTCCAGTTCTAATGAGTCCAAATGACGAGAAACAGTGGTTCTTAAATGTAATAAATGGGACGTAGACAAGTATAGCTTTCACATACATGTAACCATTGAATCCTTTATGGGACTGGCCGTTGAGCTGTATATATAACTTAATTTGGAGAAAAATTAAGGAATTTATTAACAAACAGTTGGAATGAGTACACAAGGGAGTAACCCACAAAACATAAAACTTGCTACATTTTGAACTTTCTCCTACACTACAACTTTGATCTATCCTCATCTGTACAATCCTCTTACAACTGCAATTCACAAAACATGAGGAAAACGTATAACTGAAAAGAGAAAAAAGGGTACACAGTGCTTGTTAGAAAATAAGCCAGACATGGCTTATGCTCCAGTTAAGACCTGCATCAGTTCTAGTATTGACTCACCCTATTATGTTTTCCTTGCTGTGCAGCCCACAGGTCAAGAAGCCTGCTTAGTTTTCCTCTCAATCAGGCAAGCTATGGAATATCCTTTAGACTTTGGAGTGACAGATCGATGAATCTCTTTCTGTCTTCAGTTATTCAAGGTTTATGCAATGAGCGTGAAGACATGCCACGTAGGAGTCTCATGAACCCTGTGAAACTGAGCTTTCCATCTGCATGTCTTATCCAGTCTTGGAGGACCGCATGCAGAGGGATTGATGGACTAAGGCCAAGTTCCTGATAAAACAAAACTTTAATAAGATTGATTACACAATGCATTATGCAATGTTAAGCATATGGATTTCCCAAAAGCACATGTGCATGTCCCTCATCCCAATTCACATGGACAATGATACCCTTGTCAAGATAAAGTATTACCTCATTCGAGCTTAGCTATTTATTTAATCAGTATAAAAACAAAAATATATGTATTTGCAACTATTTATTCTTTTTTCTCCCTTTACCCGGGGGGAGGGGCGTTGACGAGGGAAGTAAAGATTATTAATTTTCCATTTAAGAAAACAAGCCCATATACACAGATATGGAAAATGAGCAAGACAACCATGCCAAAAATGTTCTGCTATTTGACTTTTGACTTGCCTTAAGAATTAAATAGTATCATCCCTAGCTCTGATTCAGGAGAAGAATAAAGAAGTCTCTAAAAGCCAACTCTGATGCAGGCATGAAAGAAAGGAAAGAATCCCTGGAGAAAAATATCGGTTTTCTCCCAATTCCTCATCCAATGGAAACTTCAAAAGTTCTAGGAAATTCTGAACTTTAAAATTTGACTTTTTTTACATTTATTATTTAGCTTTCTAGTGTCTTTTAGGAAAAGGGTTTAGAGAGTTCAACTATAAAGCTTTCAAGATTTTGAAAAGTTAAACATACAATTACATCAATTTTCTTTCATCCTATTTTCCTATGCACGAAACTTGTCCGCTTTGTATGACTTTGGTGTCATTTGATAGGCAATTGAATTGTCTATCATGAGACCAAAATCTTGTAAATCCACCATGATCTGAGCTATGGTCATTTTAGCAAATAATTTATCAGTTAATAATGGGATTTGGGTCTTTATATTTCAGTTTTCCTTTGGATCAGTCTTGGAATTGTTTTTTATTTGTTTTGATTTAATAGGATTAATAAAGTATTGTTAAAGTTATTTTGGGAGTAAGAATCCTTATTTGAGTGTCCCCATTGGATTGCTTTAATTTTATTGTAGTAAGAAATTGTCTTGGATCAGTTTCCTAGTTAAAACTGGATATGTAAAGGGATATCCGAGCCCTTATGATTAGTCTATAAATAGTCTTTGTAATTGAAATTTGAGAGATGATTTAATGGAATAAAACTTTATTTTGAAGTTACCTGCAGGTAATAGTGAGTTTCTTCTCTCTCTCTCTCTTTCTCTCTCTCTCATGACTCGGTCCTTATTTTCCCTTCACCCACTATATTCATACTAGTAGGACTTTCTCCTTTCCATCCTACACCATACTCCTAAGAAACGCAACTTGGGTGGGCTGGGTTGGTTGGTGCTAATTCCTCAACCCAAGCCCAAAACCCCAAACCGGGTTGTTTCAGGCTAGATCAGGTTGGGTCAAATTTGGGTTGGGGTACAATGAAAGATGGGTTAAAAAAAGGTGTATAATCATCACAAGAGATACTGGGTATTTTGCACAATCCCATGTAGGAAAGTCATTTGCACGAGAGGAGATCAAGATATAAGTTACACTAGGATAGGCCAGTAAATTGTGTAGTAAATCTTAGACATTTTCAGTGATGTGAAAATCCTACATCAGCAATAAATTGGTGCAGGGAAAGGATACTAAAATAAAATTACAATGAAAGGCAAGTAACACATGTAATTATCTTAGGAGGTAATCTGAGATTCTGAAGTCTTATAAAGGAAAGTTATATTTCAAGGAAAATAAATCAACATAGAATTTATTTGAATCATAGTTGTCAAGGTGTTGCCTAGGCATCTCCTTAGGTGTCGACTAGGCACCCTTGACTTGGTGCTTCACCTAGACTCCTTGTTTATAGCAACTAGGTATCCATCTAGGTGACTAAGTTGCCTGCCTAGGCGACTAAAATGACAAGGCAGGCACCTTATCACAATACCATTTGCATTGCTGAATCTTTACTAATATGTGTGTTACTACATTCTATTATATACTATTTGTATCATTTATACTTGGTTTTAATGTTTTACCATTTAAATTTAAAAGATCCAAAGGTTTTAAGAAGATCAAAAGAAAAAAAAGGATAGAAATATAAAAAAGTTTTTGTTTTTTCTACTCTCTCTCTCTCTTATATTAAATAAATAACAGCTCCACCGTTGTTCTTTTTCTCTTTTACTTACTGTAACCTTCTTTATTTGCTAACTTGATATGAAATTGCTTTATTAAATATTTGTTATATTAATATCATTTTTGAAAATATTGAAATCAACATAATTGAAATAATATTGTCCTAGATATGTTGATTTTCCATGTTTTGAGAGGAAATTCAATGTACTAATTGAGAAAATTTGCTATTTTTCCAATTAACATGCATGCTGAATTGTATATAAATGTAGGAAACTAGGAAAAACTTGGTTTTTAATTTTATGAAATTCTTATTGCCTAAGTGCCTTAACAACTATGATTTGAATTTATGCCATTGATTTGTAATTAAGTTTTTTTTTTCTTTTCTACAAGGGTAATTAATTAATGATGCTTTTTAAATGAAAGCTGTTTTTTTCTCATTTAAAAGTTCTGCTTCACTAGGAAATGCCTCGGTTTCATGAGTTTTAGCATTTTTAAGGATTTTGATAAGTGGGTTATAAAATCAGTTTTAACATCAAGGTGATGGTCCAACCATCTAGTCTGGTCTTGGTCTCAAAACATTTGGTCAAGGTGTCATACATGACTGTAAATATGCACATTTGCACGCGTGCACACACACACATAGAGGAGAGAGGGAGAAAGAGAGAGATACCGTGGCAAGTTCCTCAATGAGAATTGGTCTGTTCCCATCTTTCTCAAAGTTCTCATAAGCAGAACGTGCATGTTGCTCCCAGCTGTCTAGCCCTTCCATCTGATACACACTTGATGCAGCAGCACAGAATTCCTCAAAATCTAATTTTCTATTTTGAAGCGAACTCACCTGTAAAATAGATGTGAAATCATGAACTTTCAACCTTTTTTTTCTAAGTTTTATTTTTTATATAGCTTGTTCTTTGGGTGACAAAGGGCCTCATATCCATACCATGTTAACATAATCAACCACCCGGGAATCCTTCATGGCATCAGTAGAATTCTTTGTCAAGGCCTGGAAGTTCCAGCATCATTTAGAATTAAGTAGAAATTGGATAAGCCAGACATGGACCAGAAGTAGTACTGACCATCTTAAAATTCTGCAGAGTAATGATTCCATTTTTATTTGGGCCTAACAAAGTGAACTGCTCCTGGAAATAAGCTAGATGAGACACTGTCAATGTCTTTGCAAGAGCCTGTGAAAGTAAAATACATCAGTATGTTTATCTATTTCAGGATGTTATAAACAAAACTATGTTGTAATTATACCTGAATGCCTCACAGCCTGAGTATGTATATCTATTCCAAATGTTATAAATGAAACTAAATTTACAGTTATATGTTTAATCCCTTCCTCCCTGAATTCATAATCTTTCCTTCAAAATATATTGATAAATCCCATTTCAGATCCTGCTTATAGAAGTGCCAACTCCAATTTCTTCATGAATTTTTCTTTGGGAAGAAGGGGGCTAGAAAAAAAATATTGCATCAACAGCAGGCAGTTACCCATACTCTGAGAATTACAAGGAGAAAGGACAAAAGTTCAAACCATTTCTTTGACTGCAGTGACAAAACAAATATGGCCAAGTTGCCTGCCATTATATTTTCTGTACGAGGAATGAAGAAGAAACGTATAGTACCACTTGGACAAAAGAACTAAGAATTCTTTAAATTGATGGTGAAGCCCATTTTAATATATTGTTCCTAGTTCTTTCTATAACTCACAAACAAGTTTTTTTCTAGTAGTTGATTTTTGTATAGACTAACTATTATCTTGCTTTTGGGTAAATTGCTAATAGACAACAAATTTTGGAAGAAATAAGTGGATTTTTAGGTGATTAAAGAATATATCAAAGTTACAAACAAAAACACACTCTGAACTAAGAACATTAAAAGATCTAAAGCTTTTGCATTAAAAACACAACTGCAAATCATCATGAAATTATACTTCTAGTAAGCTCTAGGGGTCAGCTTTCTGAGGGCATCAATAGTTGATACTTTTCACTGGAATATCACCTTAATGTCTCGGAGGAGAAAAAAATATAAAAACGCCATAAGCAATCTTAAAATACCCATACTAAACAAGATACTCTTTCTCTACCTAAAAGATCCTAACCATATTTCAAACTTTCTTAATAAAAAAGAAAATCTACAACAGTAGTTATATAAGCGATGTTATGGTTCATAATTATTTTTCTATGAGTATTATGGTTCATAATCATCTTACAATGGTAAACAAATCAAATCTCTAGATCATAAATATGATTAAATACTGACAAGTTTTAGAGTATTGTAAGACCTGACATTAGAGTTACTTTTCTTCCTTCTTTTGGTAGAAAAATTGAAGGTTTACATATAGAACCATTTTTCTTTACCTACAACAATTATCTCTTCTAGCTGTTCTTTTTTGGGGTAAATTACAAAGACCCCCCGATACTATGGGGTCAGTGACAAATACCCCGTGAACTTTCATTTGCAACAAAGACCCCCCTGAACTTTCACTTTGTGACAAATACCTCCTTCCGTTAGAGTTCTGTCAGTTAACTTTGAAAAAGATTTTCATTCAGCTGTTTAAAATTTTTAAATCCCCAAACTACCCTTTTCTTATTTATTTGAATGATTTATGATTTGATTAGCTTTCTAAATATAATGTTGAAGCCCTCAAGATTTCACCAATAGATTCTTGCAGATTTCTGGTTGGATTCAATATTCAAATGAAATGGTTGATGTTTCTTTCTGATAGATATAAATTTATGGTTTCGTTTGGTTTTTCTTGATTTACTGGAGAAAGGAGTGGGCAATTTTTATATTTTAAGATGATGAGAGACATTCATGTGAGTGAATTCAATGAAAATTAAAAAAAAAAAAGCTTTTTTTCCTATGCCGGTGAAATGACTCTTGTTATTTTAGCTGGTTTCGTTTTGAAAAAAAAATGAGGTATTTTTGGTCAATTAGGGTTTAAGAGAAAAAGGGCAAGAAAAGAAAATAAGGAAAGTTTAGGTGGGCATTTTGGTAATTTAACACATTCTGTCATCTGACTTAAGAGCTGAATGAAAATCTTTGACACTGACCCCATAATACAAGGGAGGTCTTTGTAATTTACCCTTCTTTGTATAGAAAGTAGAAGCGAGTGGTCTGACCAGTATAATAACTATTAGACTAAGGGGCTTTAAGATAATGGCTGAAGTGAATGACGTATTGCTTTGTCCTTTTTGATAAAATAATAAAATATTCATGGATATAGTTATTAACCCAACTTCAGCTTCAGCCATCAAGAATCTTACAAGCCCCTTAACAATTTTTTTACTAAATGCAGAGCAACAAGTCATTCAGTTCAGCCACTTCAGCTGTTATTAAACAGCCCCTACACAATGGTTGTAGGTATCCAAGTTGGAATAACTGTATTTGTGGCACATGTATGACCACAATGACAATGCTAAAATAAGTTAATAACTAAGAGGTACCAACTGCTAAGCAAGTGGCAATTGTTAGTTCTACAACCATTAATATTACTGGCATGATTTACAATATACATCGTCTTTGAGTAATAAGATGATTTGTGGTGAACCCATGTTCATATTATTTATTAGATCTACTTAAAATGAAAATAATAAAACAATGAAAGAAACTTTATCTACAGATACTTTAAAAAAATGCCAAAATCCATGCTATTCAAATAGTTATTTTCCTTTTGGGCAAAAATCTATATGTAGAAAACAAATATATTGAAAACTGACAAGCAAAATACTAGAAAAGGTGACCACAAAACTATCCTCTATATCAGAAAAAATGTCAAATTACATTGAGCAGTTAACATGTTATGATATTAATATCTAAATAAATATTATTTTAAACATTACATCCTAGATTTCCTAATAAAAGTTCAACTATATTTAGTTTGCATATGGGTTTTCCTTTTTCCTTTTTACAAGTAAATGAGAAGATATACGTATACAAGTTACAGACAAACAGACCTTTAAATTCAAACACAAGAAGCTTTCACTATAAAAGAAGACTCCCTCTAACTCAGTATATTTTCCTAACTAAATGCTAACTACATATAAGTACTGCAAGAGAGCTGGATGCTTACAGGGAAATAGAAAGGACTGCATGAGAGCTGGATGCTGAATTCAAATGGTTAGGAGTGTAAATGGTCTAGCCAACTCCCTTGCTAAACAAGGGATAGAAAGGCAGCAATTATTTTGGGCATCTTTGAACATAGTGTTGGTTTTTGGGCTGATGTTATGGTCATCAAATTAAACTTGTAATGTTTTTCACATGTAATTAATATAATCAAAGTTTCATTGATAAAAAAAACTACATATAAGTTCTGCAAAGGCAAAATTACATACCTGCAAAGCTGCTTTCCGGAGAGTAGATGAACATACATAAGCCTTTACATGTTTACATATTGATATATCGAATGGGATTTTGACATCATGATAGTTGGAAAGCCATGGATGACCTAAACACAAAGATAAAGCCACAAGTTTAAGGATTTTCAAAACTGAAGAAAGGTTGTCTAATAAGGATAGAGTAGTCAAATGACTTACTGAGAGCCTGAGCAGCAGTAAGTCTCTTACGGTAATCCTTGTTCAACAATCTCTTGACAAAATCTTTTGCCTCAGAAGATAAAGAAGGCCATGGTGCTTCTTCATAGCTGGGCTCTGCCTTCAAGACAGATCGGAAGATTCCTGATTCTGTCCGAGCCCAAAATGGGCGGCTTCCACACAGAAGTATATAGGCAATCACACCAATACTCCACATATCAGCCTCGGTGCCATATGCTCTATGCAGAACTTCAGGGGCCACATAATATGCACTTCCTACAATATCATTTAATCGTTCATCTGCACATAATCCCAAGAGTCAGGTGATAAACCATACCTTCAATAATTCAAAAGGAATAAATCTCATAAATTACAACTAACCTGGCTTTACATAATCAGACAATCCAAAATCAATTGCCTTGAGTTGAGATTCCTCCTCCTTTGTACTAAAAAGAAAATTCTGAAGTAGCAAATAACATATGAATATAAAGAAAAGAAGCAAATAGAGATACGCTTCAGTAACTGAGACATTTCCTAACAATTTTCACTAGAATCACAACAAATACTGGTTCAAGACCAATGGTTTAAGAATGGGGTCACACCACATCCTCCCATAATTGGTTTATCAAAAAGGCTAACCTGAGAAGCTGGAAAAAGGTCATCTTGGATATATATGGTAATAGGATGATAATTGCATCCAATTAATGGTGTTTGTTTGTAAAGTAAAAAACTTTGCATACAAAGGTTTACATAAAGGAAGTCACCTGACAGTTCACATTATTCATTATGAAATATTTTTCCTATCCTACCCAAGAGGTGGCCATGAGATGACACACTTAACTCACCTTTCAAGATGGAACGGATAACTTTTGATGGTGCAATTACATAGCAAGTGATAATATGGAAAGAACACATCACAATCCATGAATCATAATGAGGTAGACTAGAATAATAGAATTTATCAAAAAAAACTAGAAAAATAGAATCTACAGCATATTTAGAAAGAATCATTAAAGAAGCAAGGGCATCTTCTAAATATAGTAAACTGTCTATGCCACCAACAATCCATGAATCATAATGAGGTAGACTAGAATAATAGAATTTATCAAAAAAAAACTAGAAAAATAGAATCTACAGCATATTTAGAAAGAATCGTTAAAGAAGCAAGGGCATCTTCTAAATATAGTAAACTGTCTATGCCACCAACAAGAGGCAAAACAGAAAAAAAAAAAACGAAAAGAAAAAGAAAAAGAGACAAGATAAAAGGTGATTTAGTTGGATTTTACACATCCGAAGTATAGATGATCATGTATGGCATTCCAATATGGATATTTTTTAGCCACCTAAAGAAAAAAAAAATACAGGATGATTACCTCTGGCTTTAGATCACGGTGAACCACACCTTGGAGATGACAGAAAGCAACAACACTTAGAATCTGGACCATGACAGACTTGGCATCTTCTTCTGAGTATTTTCCACCCCTAAAATCATGAATGGAAACTTTCTCCTATTAGAAAATAATCAACTTGGAAAAAGATTTTTGCAACTTTAAAAATCTACTACTTAAATTACCTTGACAGTATCCTATCTAAAAGTTCTCCTCCTTTGCATAACCTGAATAATATAAACAACAGAGTTAAGAAATAGATTTAAGTCAATGCTTTAAATTCTCATCTTAAATGCAATAGATTAAGAAAACTTCAACACTTAACATACCCCGATAATATTCTGTATTCCTTAGGCTAGAAAATGACAAAGATGATGATCCAGGAGAATCTACTAAATACAGAATTCTAACCATAATTGATCCAGATTAGCCAATTTTCCCACAGGACAGAACCCAGATGGAAATTTCAAATGGTATAGTCCCATGCCTCATATTTTCAACCTATGACTCAGTTACTAAAGCTGTCGGATTTCATAAAAATGTTTACCCTCAATGGAGTCGCAAGAAACTGTCATGCAGATATATAAGAAAACAGGCCTAGGGGCCCTAAAATTGACACCAGCCAATTCAGAACGGACCTAGATGATATTCTGAGGGACTCACAAATCCCTCCTCCTCCCCTCCCCCCTGCCCAAAGTTGAGAGATGCAGATTTACAAGTGGTCTAAATGGCATTTTTAGGAATAAACAAATCATTTCCTTCCTCTTTCTATATGCCAAGCATTGGAACAGGTAAAGTTCAGCAGTCTTTGAACTTGGTATTAAAATAAACTATGGTTTCATATGCTGTTTAGTTAATACACCTAAAGCTTAATGGTCAACAGTTTAAGGCACAAAACCTTTTCTCTGTTTATTACATCAACCAGTATTTGCCTCAGTGTTGGCCAAGTCACATAATGGCTTAAGTCTTTGACACCCTCTCTAAACTGAGAGAGAGAGAGAGAGAGAGAAGTTCTTATGTTCTGTTATGTAGCTCATCTACGAATACTCCTAGTGGCAATAACACAAAAGGACGAAATGTTTACAAAATAAGTTAAAAAAATTGCACTAGAAGAAATTAAACTTACTCCATTACTATATACACATTTTCATCATCTTCATAAGAGTCATAGCACTGCACCAAGTTCTTATGTCCTGTTAGAGCACGCAGTATTTTCACTTCTCTTCTTACATCTTCAATAGCAATTGCTGTTGTCATCTGGAAAAAGCCACAAAACAGTACCCATTCTATGAGAGAGAGAGAGAGAGTATTGATCAAAAGAGAGAGAGAGAGAGAGAGAGAGAGAGAAGAGAAAAAAAAGGGACTAGAAAAAGACTTTTCCCCTAATTACAATTTGTGAGACTTAATAATTGATGTGATTCTTCTAGGAAGGGAAAATGGTTTTATATCACGAAATGAAGCCATTTCATTTCATGTGGATCTCATAATGTTCAAAATCAAGGTAGAACAAGCTTTGACCACATCAGATCTACAATAAATTAAAAACACAATTGTTATTTTGCAGCACTAGTTCTTTCTTTGGGTCATAAATTGGTTATAACACTGGCCCATTATTATTGTATTAGCTCCTTAATCAAGTTAAAATATGCTTCTTAAGTACAGGAGTCTTGAGTTCTTAGATATTAATGCCACTAACAATTTGTGCTGGATGCCAATCTCATAGCTCATTCTTGTATAAACATCAGTGTTAGATGGACTCTCCTAAATAGACATGTCGGAGTCTAACACTCCATGAATTCTTGAGGATTTTCCTATGTGACATCACAACTGAACAGCTAATGTGCAAGATGAATGCCCTTTTTTGCAGGTATATTATATACAATTTTAGAATTTGAAAAACCTTAACTATTTTGGTAGTATATACTTATCCATATATGTATCTGCTAGTCCATGTTTTCTCATCTATGCCGAGTCAAACTCTTGGACATGAGTTGGATTCTGACTCCCATGTCCATGTCCATGTCCATGCAACACTGATAGTTGATACCACCATAACAAACCCAGTAATAGTATTCATATAATAATTGTTCTAAGGCTGCATTTGGCATTCCTTATTTTAAGGATTTATCTCCTTTTTGCAGTTAAAATGCCCTTATGAACATTGAGTTTTTAACTGTACAAAGGAGATAGCAAACATCACCTGATTAAGCAATCTTACTTTCTCAAATCATAATTATAGCATTTCACAAGTGAGACATCCAAGGCATAATCACGACCAATTGCAAGACTGTCAATAAAATCCCATAACTGATAAGTATTACAGATAGAAGATCAATAAAATCGAACCTTTTCTTTTGGAATGATCTTGACAGCGAGCTCCTGTCCCTTCAATTCCCCTTTCCTCGCCTTTGCAATACAAGTATACCCGAAATGGCCACGCCCCACCTCTTCACCAAGCTCAAACTTTGAAACAAAATGCTTTGAAAATCCAAAATTCTTATCCAATCCGACTTCACATTCGCTTCCTTCAGGGATGGTGGCCTCGTTGGGCTTAACGGAGCCATGCCTGCGAGCGAGCAAGGCCTTGATGTGCTTTGCCGGGGAAGGAGGTGGGAATGGTCGCTTGAAAAAACGCAGAGGGGTCGAACTCACACTTGAATTGGCTGGCGAATTCTTGAATACATTTAGTAGCGGACTGGGGCTGTAGAATGAATGGGTTAAAGGTTTGCTGACATTAGAATTCACTGCGTGCTCGACATCGCCCGGAATCACCGAGTTTTCTGCATGACTTGAAGGGTTTTCGATCGGCTTTCCATGACAGAGTCCCATGGAATCAAGAACTCAACCGCAGAAGGAACAGGAGAATGAATTACTAAAAGTGAAAGTGAGAAATTGATTAAAATTCCAACAAGGGAAAGGGAGAAGGTTGAGAAAAAAAAAAGAAATACTCTACAAGGAAAAAAATCTAAAACCCAATTAGTTGAAACACCGAGGAATTTTAAGTACCAAGAAGGGAAAGAGGAAACATGAAAAACTCAAAAGGAAAGCAGAGAACCACGCAGAAATCTAATATTCTAAATGATCAAACACAGGAAAGAGAGCTCAAATCAGAATACAATACCAAGAAAATAGTGCAAATTTACCACCCAAAGACGACCAGGAATGTAAATGAAGAGAAAGAATTATTGTTGTTCAGCTGATCAAGCCTAGTTATGGAAACTCCAGCTAGTCAATCTTAAAGTGAAGAGAAGAACTGGGAACAAACAAATAGGACTAGGAAATATAAAGTAAAAGAAAAGTAATCAAATTCAATAATCAACAAAAAAATCCTCAAAGAAAAAAGCCCAGAAAAAAAAAATCACTGAGAATAAAGATTCAACGGGAACAGATGAAGAAATGCAAGAGAAGGAAAACCCAAATTCACAAAAACAGACAAAGAAAAGTCCAACAAGAAAGGAAAGAAGATGGGGCTTGGGAGAGAGGAGAGAGGAGAGAGGGTGGAATAAAAATAAAAACAAAAGATGCTTAACAGAGGCTGCAAGGAAAAAAAGAAAAGAAAGAAAACCCAACTCCCTTTTTCTGCTTTTTAGCTTTTCTGAGTGGGGTTTGATGGAAAATTTTAGCTTTACTTTCAGACCCTCTAATAATGGTGTGCTTGGTGACTTCCTGTGTGTCTGTGGATCCTTCCAACCTGTACTTTTGATCCCAGAAAAACACCATGAATGAAGAGCTTCGAGTTTTTTATATGCACAGGTTACTTTGGTTATTTTACATCATAATCCAGTTTTTATTATATTTCTATTTCCATGGGAAGTTTGACCTTGTTTGAGCTTTGAAATATCTCTCTCTCTCCAATATTTTATTGAATTTGTTGGGACGGAATTGGACCAATGAGAATTGGTGCCTGCTTGTTTATTGGGAAGGACTATGTTGGCCCTGGGATGTGAGTCCTGTGCCCATTTGTGGACTTAACCGGCCCACAAGAATCTGGGTCGGGTTACAAAAAATGCATCAATTTTGAGAATGAACCAGCCAGCTTAACTGGTCAATCAGATCAACCCAGCCAATTAAAGTGCAATAAGACTGAAATATATCAAATACTCTAGCCAATACCATCTGGGTTCATATATCTAGTGGCATTTATCCAGACTCAGGTTCTGGGTCGAATTGGTGGACTGCTCAACAAGTGGCTAATGTATTCCCATGTGGATCACTGCCGGTTCAACCATCTCTCTATCTCAAGTATTGGCCAACCTAAACATTCTTAATTGGGAGGGGGGGGGGGGGGCGGACAGGAATCTAAGACATTGTTTTCAAGGCTGTCATTTCTGAAGTAATTCAGAAGGAAGAACACTTGTTTCTATCCAAGTAGTGGTTTAAGTGTATCCTTCTCTGTTTAATTCATCTAATAAATAATCAAATTTTCTTTAATCAATGATCGATAACGCCATTAATGGTGTCAAGGGGTTGGTTTCTTTTTGTTTAGGGATGTTTAATGTCTAATCTAACCCTAATTACCAAATTAGTTGGGGTATACCAACTAAATAATAATAATAATAATGATGAAAGGTTCAAGACTTCAAGTAGTTCATTAATCAAATATCCAATTTGACATTTAAATTAATCATAATTATGTTTGGTCGGGCATGACTGCTGCCCCCACATCAAGCATATCTTTCTTAATCAACAAAAGGAAATGACCCACAATGAACAATTAAAGCATTACTAGGAGGCAGGATCCCCTCTCCACGGTGACATAGTTGGAAAAGTAGGTGAAGTTTTTAGGGCAAATTGGAATAGTATTATTAGCTAATGCTTTATACTATAATTCTACATGAGATATTGTTTTTTTCTCAATAGTTTAATAGATTCTAAGAGCATTAACATCTCCACAAGCGGGATCAGCAGCTACTTTGACTTTTGGGGCTGAATTTAGAGCCCTCTGGGAGAGCTTCAGCTTTGATTGAGCTGCATTCACTGAACAACTTTCAAAAAACTACAAAATTTAACTTCTTTTGGAAAGTTGATTTCACAAATGAATGAAAGCATATAAAGGCTTTTCAGGTTTTTCACCAAACATAGCTTCTAGGCTTTCAATGTAAGTGCCACCTTTGCAAAGTCAGAAGCCAATGCATTAAAGCCTTTCCAAATAGGCACTAAGAGACCGAACCCATTTGGATTGAGCTGCTATAAAGAAATGGTTCATGTTGAACATCTATGTTCTGGATAAATTATTTAGATAAGCTTCATATTTAAATTGCTCAAGTGGCGTTCAAGACACTGATTTAGTCTTTCCAGATTTTCACCAAACACAACTTATTATGTTTTTGTATCAGGCTGAATTCGAAACACCCAAATCCACATCCCAAAAACATCATCATCCTAATCCTTGGAGAGAGTTGCCCATTCAAATCTACAAGTATCAGCAACCTTTATTTTCTTAATTAGTCAATCTTGGTATAGTTTCAGTTAGAAAATATTCCTTAAAAGACAAAAAAAAAGGGCTTCTGGAAGAAGTGGACTCAATACTGACCTAATCTTTAGCATTTTTTTGACACCTGTCAGCCCAAGATAAGCAATGGTTCTATTAAGACAATATACAAAAGAAAATTCCTATTCTACTTATTTTAATCCACATCATCCAAACCAAGAAATGAAAATACCCAAATCATGCAATGGAAGCTTTTCTTTATTGAGATTTGGATTGAAGTCCAAACAGGCACCATAACAAGACTAGACAGTGGACTCCATCTAGGATGATTGAGAAAGTGAGGAGTGCAAAAGCTAACTTTGGTATTACATGAACCCTAATCTCTTCTTTGTTGACTTTTATACCAAATAGAGTCATTTTGCTTGGAGACGATCATATTTAAAAAGTCTAAAACACTCATTGCGGCCCTCTCAAGTAGTGATAACTGACAAATTTAGGGGCAAAAGAACTTACTAAAATCAAAACCATAGAAACCTAATCAAAGATTTCAATTAAGCCTCTGTTGGCCCACCCCAGAATTAGTGTCCCCAGCACAAGAAAAGCAGATTGATGCCTCTTTTATGAAGAGTGGACCATTGTGTGAGACAAGGAATTCAATTCCTTGATCACCTTCTTCCCTCCAGACTTGTTCCTATCCTCTGGAATAAAGCTAACAGATAAAGGGTGGTTGAGCATAAAAGGGAAGAACCCACTTTTTTGTATCACAGCAGCTACTGAATTAAAAATGTGAACATGCAAGTACATGGAATAAGGTGTTTCCATGCCTCCTGCAAAGAATTTCTTGACTCAGACAACCATGTAAATGAGTATTTTGTCAAAGTTATGTAGTTGAGGCAAATCACGTCCACCAGCTACATAAAATTCATGTTTTACAAGGAAAGGAGATGGCAAGCTTCAAGCCACATAATTAACCAATAAATACCCTAAAACATAGAATTAATTACTAGTGTTAGACACTTGATTTAACAGCACAAGCTTCTCAAATTAGGAAATCCAAGCAAAACAAGGCTTTTAGGCCATACTAGAACCGATTATTTTAGTTCCGGCTTTGAGTTTTGTGTCCCAATTGTAATTGGGTTGGGACTGATTTCTTGCTGTTCGGAATGATCATGTAATTAATAACATATGATGTTTTTTTGTAATTTTTGTTATATTTATGTTTTTTGGGTAAATTTTTTTAAACAGTATATAAGTAAGATAATTTTGGTTGAAATCACTTATTTTATCATCATATAAACAGTTTACTATTTATTTTCATTTTCAGTAAGGTATATATATATATATATATATATATATATATATATATATATATATAAGAATGAAGTTCCAATTTGTTATATAAAAGTATAAGCAGGTCGGACCAAATTATTCTAATTAACAATTGTCCCAAATTAGACCCGACCAATTGACAGCTCCAAGCCATACCAAGTAGGTATATAAGGTTGAAATAATTTGGGAAAGTTAGCTCGAATCCAACCCGAAAATATATTGAAGTCTGGGTTAACGTAAAGGTTGAAATTTTTGAAACCAACTTAATTAAGTCTGGGATATGACACATAGATGAATAGATAAATAGATATAAATACATAGATAGAGATAGACAATAGGTAGATATATATATAGAGAGACATCAAAATTTGATTCATCAATATTCGGATTTGAATTGAATCTTATACATTGGATTTGGATTGAATTTGTATATCGAATTCCACTAATAAATTTGATTTACAAGTATCGGCCATAAATGATATATGATATTTAGAATTAACATTTATGATCTGTATGTCATGGTTTTTAAAACCGGATCGGACTGGACAGTCGGATTGGAAAAATCGGGAACTGGTCCATTTTTCTTCAAAACCATTGATTGGTCAATAAACTGCTGACCCGGCCGGTTAATCGTTCAAACGATTTTGACTGTTTTTTATTTTTTGTCAGAACGGACTGACTATTCGATTCAAACGGTCGAACCATTCAATCCGAGAACCAGACCTCTAACTGGTTCGTTTTTCGAGCAGATTTTTAAAAACCTTACTACATGCACACATAATCCAAGACAAATATCTGCTTTATATAATATAAATATAAATATAAATACAGCAGGGAGGATTTGGGTCCAATTTTGGCATGTAAATGAGTAAAATACATAATGGTTAACACATGTTTCTAATGTTTCTTCAAAAGCCATATATAAAGCCTGAAAAGATGGAAACAATAAAAAAATGAATATTATAACTTAAATCAATCAAATAAGAAAGATAGACTTATCTATCTATACATTAACTACATTTATTTTTTAATTTAAAAGCCATAATAAAACAAAGATATTAAAAGAGAGGAGGAAAGAGAAAGGGAGACAGAGAAAGAGTGAGAGAGATTGAAAATGAGATTTTCTATTATTTAAAGGAAAAAATCAACAAGATTCTCTACTCTTCCTTTCCTTCCATCTTAAGCATATAGGATGATGTTATTGAAACTCATAAGCAAACTGTGACTTAGAAAAAAAACTACAGTCATTATCTGTTTGTAACTGTAATTGGTTGCCACACATTTTTCCTCACCAGTAGTTAATGAAAGAAAGAGAAGTACTGAAAGCTACAAGTACACACAACAAGAGCTAGTTCTTTCTCTTGACGTTGTCCAATCTTGGCTTGGCAGCCCCACTTTATCCTCTGCACCCTGTAATGTTGTTGTTAGGTGACCCACTCCATGGAGGAAGGCTAAGAGTCAATTCTCACTTTCTTGACCAGTTCAGAGCTCAGACAGTGGCCCGGGGCCACCATGGCCGGGCCTGATCTTTGGCCTCTTCTGCACCCTTCTATGCCGTTTTATATATATAATGCTGCGATTCGGCCTGTTGTCTGTCGGTCGCCTTGTGTCTGTGTCAACGTCTGATTCTTGGCTCGCCGTTCCCCTTCTGCTTGCGTGTATCCGCCGAAAGACTGCTTTGTTGGAGCTTTTTAGGGATTCGAGATGCTCTGCCCTTCATCTCAAAACAGCTTTGCTGAGTGCTCTCACTTGTTTATTTTGAGAAAAAGACATGGAT